ATTTTATAACAACATAAATGCTAATAGCAACATTTCAAAGCACTGTATTTAGTTTTCGCCTCATAACTCCCATTAAAGTTAATAGGGCTTGCACAGCTAGAATTCTATGCAGCACATTGTACTGTGAGCTACGCAGTACATTTTCAGCAGAGTAATTGCCAGTAGGTACATGCACCAGTGCTCTGGCATCAGCAGAACTAAATTAGAAAGACTCGTAGCTCAGGTAAACTCAGCTGCTGTGCAAGAAAGACTAACGCGCTTCCCTTACTTGTCATTGGCCAGATGATAGAAACGCTTGTTCACACAAGAGACACACAGCAGGGATACAGCATCCAGATAGGAAAATATCTTCATCAGCATTTCTGATGGCATGCTGGAAAACAAGAAATTCTGTTAGACTTACCTGCAAATTCCAGAAATGACAATGGCAAAGAATTTTAACCCCAAAACTGAGCAAAAAGAAAAAGAGATTAAAACTACCAGTTTGAGTCCCCAGATCAAACCTCAACCTCAAGAGTTAATTCACAACGTTTGGGTTCTAATTTGTCTCTCTGATCTAAAACGTGCTTGAAACAATTCATCACAACCTATTCAAGTGGCACAGGACATTATGTGAAAAGTTATGGGTCTGCATTTTCATTAAACTTCAACCCAGCCTGACATGAAACTACCTCATTCAACTCCAGCCTCTCGCTGCTTGTACCATGATTTCACCACGCAGTCCGTCAGCATTTCCCAGAACTGCGGATACTCACTCACCCCCTGACTGTGCTGTCAGCTCTCACGATGCATCAGCACTGAAATGTCCCAGTCAAACAGTGGGATCGTGCTATACCTCATCAAAATCTTCAAGCCACATGTGCTCAGAGGTCTCACACAGCTCTAATTTATGTCAACAGAAAGATGTGAACTTCAAACTAAGAGTTGTGTGACACCTTAAAAACATTAATGCTTCTGTGTGTCTCCCAGGCTGCCTGATGAACTGCAGGTGCCAGCTGCAAAATCCCACTTGTGATGTTTCTTTGCAGGCTAAGTAGAATTGCAACAGAGCCTTCAGAGAAGACACCATAATTTTTTGTATTAACTGACAAACCCTTTGAGTAGTACCCGGTAACAGCACAGAATTTAAAAAAGAATAAAAGTATTTTATACTCTAACTTTTTAGAGCATGGTAATACAATAAAATCAAAATCACCACTGAAAATACAAACTGCTGTGAAAGTCAATGCCTAAGCCATGCCTCTTTTTTCCAACAGTCTCATTTAGAACACTTGCTGATTTATAATACTTTATTCCAGAACTATATAGTTTTCAAGCATAGAATGATAATAATGTCAATACTCCAGGGTTTGTATTAAAACTCAGTAATTCAGTTGCACTATCAGAGAGGCAAGCATGCCAAAACTTGCATAGTTATTTACGTGAAAGGATTCAAACAGCATAAGCCGAAAGCAGTTGCTGCATTTATGCCACAGAAAATTTAGCAATGATCCCTTTAAAAGCTACAAATTGGTTAAAATAATATGCTTGATCTCAAATTCTCAGCAGTAGTTTTCACACCCACATTATTTTTCCTTTGAAGGAAACTTTTTTCTCATCTTTCACACAAACCTAACAACATAAGGGATGGCACAGGCTATACAATGGGAAACAGAAAAATGACTAACACAGAAAGCTACAAATGTGTGAAACAAAGGAATTAATCTTCCCTACAAAATACTCTTCGGTGCTTTTTGTAGAAATGTAAAAGATGTTCAAAAAGAAAACAACTCATGACTATTTTAAAAAGTGCCCTTTCAATGTCAAACTGGGAGAGAAACATTCCCTCTGCAGCATGTTTGCAGCAGCCACTTCCCTCTCCCTTATCTCACTCCACCATTCTAAGACTACCTATAAAAACCAAGAATCATCAAGAGAAACATCAGGAGTTTAATTCCAAACTGGCTTTTCTTTACATAATACAATAAGAATTTTTATTTTTAAGGATCATCACATCCCATGACTTGCTGAAGGCTTCGTATGTCTTGGGTCCTGAGGTCAACTCAGGATCCCAAAGTAGGTCAGGAAAGCAAATCTCCTTTTCAACTCAGAACATCTGACAAGAAAACGTCCAATGCATTAATTTAATAACTGTACACAGTGAAAAAATTGCTTGTACTCTGCAAGGGCCCTTACAGTCTTATATTGAAGACATACTCACCTTTCGATGCACATATTAGGTTTTGGTTTTATGGGAGATCTCCAAAATAGACTTTTAGTTTTAGTATTCACAGTTTCAGAATATTCCCCAGGCCTGGCAGCAAAGCTCCTCGATGAACTTCTAGAAAGCAAAAACTGTTAGGAGTCACATTATAAAATGAAGAAATATGCATAACGAGCGTATCTAGACACCACATCTCAGCTGAGACAGGATTGAGGGCACACATCACGTGGTAACTCATTATCGGTTCACAAATTTGAACAATTATCACCTAAAGTATCAGGCAAAATACCTAAAATACCTGACAGCAGGAAGATGTCAGACTTAAACTCACAGGTCTCTCTCCTGTGACATATCTCTGGCAGCAGTCCGAAGGGAGTGATGCTGCACCACCAGGTCAGTTGGAATCCGGTAAAGATCTAGCACATGGCTGCACCATGGCGGGCACCACGGTCAAGCTCCAGATAGACCCCCGCCATCAATCAGACTGCCTGTATTAATCTTCTGTTTTGCAACGTTACGCCAGAGGCATTTTTGAGCCATCCAATTTTGGTAAGCTATTAGAAGATACCAAACAGAGCAATACCTGGAAAGACTCTCAAAAACGGCTGAAGAATTCCGTTGACTGTACAACAGACCCTCATTTGAAACGAGGCTCTACGCTCACTTCAGCCCTTCCCCTGCCAAAATACTAGCAGCTCGACGGGTAACTGCTAGTTCTACAGCAAAATATTTGGTTATCAAAGCTTTTATTGCTCATTTACACAATAATTTGGATACAAAATACTCTCTCTAAATAAAAAGTAACCTTGCATACTTCTAACACAAAGTCTTAGAATCCAACGGGCTACACTTTTTTTCCATTTTTCTGATAGAAGGAACTATATTATTTCTCAAACGATATAAAGAACTTCAAAGTCGTAATCACAAACCCCACCTTCAAACCACACGCATATATTCAGACAGTTCCCATCTTCAGTAAATCCCTACACTTAATACCCACTGATACTCTGTGATCCACACAGCAGCCACAACTCCCCACGTACTCTGTTAGTGCTCCACAGTTGTAACGCCAGCCGGCCTCCTAACATCTGGTCAACCCTGCCATGGCTATCAGCAACCAATTAATGTCGGAGAAAAAAATAATAATTTTGAAGCAAATGGGCACCCCATATATTTAATGCATACTGTTCTTGATTTAGAATCTGTTTATGCTCAATGAAAAAAAAAACCTGAAAGAAAAATAAAAAAGAACAACTGTATCCTATGTTGTTGACTGTGCCATATAAAAAAATCCCTGAAGTTATCCTGGGAGCTGTTATAAACGCAACTCAAAGACATACACATTTCAGTTTGGATGCCAAAATGTAATAGACTAACAAAATTAACAGCAACAAAAAAAGTAACCATATGTCAAATACACCCTGAAGGTCAAGGAAATGTTTTACTGATGGGTATTATTAACAAGCACATTTAGAAAATGAGATGAAGAACCAACTTGAATGAGTCCATAACAAACGGCATTTTTCAGAAACCATTAAAGGGATTTAGAAAAAAGTCCTGTTCAGCAACAGCAGAACTACCTCTATACCAACAAAGATGCTCTAGCTTGGAGGCACAACAACCTCAATTGCTATTTCATTACCTTTCAATTTGTAGGACTCAGTTTTGTACCAGTATTTTGACTTTCATACCCTGAGGTACTCGCAACGTGAACACGTTTTTGTGGTTGCTGCTGTTGTTGTTTTGGGTTAGGGTTTTTTGCGTGCTGGTCAGGGAACAAAACTATTTCAAAGAATGTCTAGGAAGCTGTAATTAATGACAGACCCTGTCTACTTCTCCAAATGTAGTGGTGTACCTGTGGATAAACACAAATGACAGCAATGTTTTGACATTACTTTATTCCTCAGCTATTGATTTCAAGGTCTTTTTAAAAGGTGGGTATAACCTATTTTGGTTACAGGTTAAAAAAAAAGCGGGGAGGAATGAAACAGCTGTTAAAATGATTATAGAAAAGGGTTGGTTGAAAAATTTCCTTTCTCGATTTTGCTTCTGAACTCGGTGCTTTGGATTTTCGGAAGCTGAGCGTGCACTGGAAGGACTGAGGAATCACATCTTCCCCAGAGAAGCCATCCTATATATTACAAAGGCCTGCCTGTCTTGGACACGTAGACATTTGGCATTAAGATAATATGGCCCTTTTCTTGTCGGACTAGTGCAGCTTACGCTACTCCTCTCAGCTCAAGCACCTAGCCCAGGTTTAAGCCGCACTCCTCGGGACAGCAAGCCCAGAAAGCTGCATGTTAAACCTTGGTTATCTGCTACACCCGGAAAGGGCTGTGCTGCACATCTCGGGCTGCATGTACCCAACTGAGCCACCCCAAAAACCCCCTTCATGGCCGGGCAGGGCACAGCACCCAGGCCACGAGGGGCGAGCTCAGAGCTGGAAACATGAGCCACGAGACTGGCGATGGGGAGCCATGGCAGCAAAGGGAGCACACCCTTTTGCCGGGCAGGCACACCACTAATTACCTGAGCCCTGCGGCGGCGGCAAGAGGGGCAAACACCCTCGGCGGCCCGAGCCCGGCGGCACCAAGAGGAGCCGCCGCCGCCATGCCGCGACCCCGCTGCTGCTGCGCCCTGCCGGGGGCGGCCGCCATGCCCGGCTCAGCCAGCTGAGGGCGGCCGCAGGGGCGGCGCTGGGCATGGCGGTCGCTGTAGTTGCTTTCCCCGGAGCCTCGTCCAGCAGCGGGCGCAGGAGGCAGCTCGCTCAAACTACGGCTCCCAGGGCTCGCCACCACCGCCGCCTCCTCCCCTCGCACCCCGCTGGAAGATTTCCGCAGCGGCAATGGCGGGGCGCGGCTGGCAGGGCACCGGGGGCTGCTGAAGGGCTGCTGCCTCCCTCAGCCGCCTCCGAGGGGTCCCCGCCCGCCGCGGGGAGAAAGTTTTTTCCCCTCGGCTCCTCCGCCAAGCCTCGGGCAGGGGGGAGCGGCGTGAAGCCGCCCGGGGTGCTTGGGCATGCTGCTCCCCGCCGCCCTGCTGCGAGGCGGCGGGCAGCTGCGGGGCTCCCTGGGGAGATGGCCGCCGGCGCCTTGCCTGAGATGGCGGCGGCAGCAGCAGCCCCCCCGCAGCCCCTCAGCGCCGCTCCGGGGTGCCCAGGCGGGTGTGTGGACGCAGGCTGGGGGGCTGGGGGCTGAAAGGTCTGGGCATGACAGCAAGCATGTGTCGGTGCGAAGGGAGCAAAAGGATGAGGCTCTGCTGTCGGCGGCTCGGAAAGGTAAGGGCTGTGGGCAGAGGTGAGGGGGTGCCCCTGTGGTTGTACAGCCCCCATACACGCCCACAGCTCGGAAACTGAAAAAAACCCACAACTTTCAGGAAAACAACAGACTCGTTTTCCTTCGTGTTGGTTGCAAACACTTCAGTGTAGGCACAGCTGAAGCAGAAGTGAAATCTTGCAGCTTCTTCCAAACAGCTTGATTGTGTAAGTCAAATCCACACGAGGAGTAAGTCCTAGTAATTCCCCTTTTTAAAAGGAAAACCTTTCACACACGACCTGTTTTGATGCTGTTAAGCCAAGTCTACTTCCAGCACTTTTCCAAAGTGCTGTATCTGTTGCTGGTTTCTTTACGGGGGGCCTGGCAGTTTGGCTCTTCTCATTCATGTCAGTGAAAGGTAGCTCCTGCGCTGTCTCAGAAATTCCAGATTGAGAAAGTTTCTGGAGAGCATCTTCAGCTGATGAGGACACTTCAGGAAAAAAATGTTTTTTAATGTTTCCTCAGTAATTTGCACTTTGCTGCAAGGCGTACTTTACCACTTAAACAAATGAGTAGTTTCTTCCTCCTTCTCAAAGAGTACTTTGTAAGTGTGAATCTCATGTGACTTTTTTCACGGTCTATACTGACCCTTTTACTAGTGCATTAGATCAAATTACATAATAAAATGCGGTTGACAGTCTCAGTAAATGCATATTTTGGTCCAATATGCCTCCTTTTTGTTGTTCCTTTGATTGCAAGAAAGCAGAAAATAGTAATACTTAGTACAGAAATACAAATCTGCCTTTGATAACATCAAGACGTTCCATGATCTCTTAGTGATGAGGCATTGTGGAAGCTGTGGTTGGGACTTTTTCTTTTGTCAAAATGTTATTTGAGTAGTTTGAACTAATAGAAGAGCATGTATATAATAATTGTATGCAAGTTTTACTTCCCATGGATCTAACTCTTACATTGTTTTGTTTTATTTCAGTGAAAGAAGCTGGAAGAGACTTCACCTATTTTATTGTGGTGCTTGTTGGAATTGGTGTTACAGGTTATTTTTTAAATTACTATTCTTTATCAGAAGATACTTTTTATTAATTCCCAATCAATTCTCATTCTATTTGTTTTTGTTTCTATTGCAGGTGGCTTGTTCTATGTGATTTTTAAAGAGTTATTCTCTTCTTCTAGTCCAAGTAAAATCTATGGAGATGCCTTGGAGAAATGCAGATCTCACCCTGAGGTTGGTTTTTGAACGTTAGTCATAAGCTTATGTTTCTCATTAATTATGGCCTCTCTCTTTAAGTCAAAAGTTTGCATCTCACAAGCAAATCTACAGGAATATCCACAGAGATGTTCAAACACCAGCAAGATCTGCCTATGCTTCTAGCTGAACAGAGCTGGGTCAGCTCTAAGTCTGAACCTATACTAGGTGAAGTTAATGCAAGCTCTGAGTCTGAATGAATTAACATGCAAGACAAGAGAGCCCTACAGTGTCTGCCACTTCAAAGCACATGTATCTGTAGGCACTTGCAGAGTTCTGCAGATCAGAGAGGCAACTGGTCCCACTTTATGGATCTGTGTTGCTGACTTTCCTCAACACAGTTACTCTGCTGCAACTTCTGTAGGGTTCTGTCATGTGAAATACTGCATAAATATCAAGAAATTCAAACTCTTCATTAGAAACAAGGTTAACGTTACTGTGGCTAATAGGAAAGGAGAAAGGTGACAGTCATGGGATCAGTCACATAAGATAGCTAAATATAAACAAAAGTCAGTCCAAAACTAGACTACAAAAGTCAGTGCTTAAAACAAGAAAGGTGGGGAATAGCTTTGAAAAATTATCACAGGTTCTGCTGAGATGCCTGAAGCGACAAGTTCGTACTAGGAAAGAAGTTAAGATTGCTTTAGAACAAGTTTGTAGAATTAAAACTCCTCTCCAGTAGTCACACCATGAAAGCACCCTTCCTTTCTAAGCAACTTGAAAATAATTTTAAAACTAGTTTAATTTGGTCTGTCTTTAAAGATCCAAAGAAAAAAATCCTTGAATTTCTTAAGCAGTGTTTCTTAGATAGGTGAAGGGCAGTTATTTGCATTTTAAGATTAAACTTCAAAACAGTCTTGAAAAGACATGAGCAAATATGTTTCTTCCCCTTTTTACACAAAATGTCAGTAAAGTATAAAATACACAGTAAGAAAAGAGATTAAAATGTCTTAATGCCAGAGGATGGTACAAATGGAACATATTACTAGGATTTATTATAGGCATTTTGCATGTGATTGTAAAGGAAAAATGCTGAAATGGAGTAATTTTTCCTGTGGTGTTTTCTTTCCTGAACTATTGCATTCTTGACATATCAGACTCACAAGGGACAATTTATTGAAGGAATTGAAAGAAGATACATTCACAGAAGGGACAAGAGCTGATGCTGGAATATCTGTTTGAACTTGATACCTTCTGACAACTCAAATCTCTTTTCTCTTGTAGGTAATTGGTGTTTTTGGTGAACCCATTAAAGGTTATGGGGAGGCAACGCGAAGAGGAAGACGACAGCTTGTCAGGTGTTTGCCCCATACAGACAATAGGTTTTGCACAGCAGAGGCGTTTTGGGTCACATCACAGAAAGTTAGATCTAGATTACTGAACTGTGTGACATACCCTGTCAATTGTAAGTGAAAATGAAAGGAATTTTTTGCAGTATGTCTTTTGTGGCACACACCACTAAATACAGCACACATGCAATATAGAATGCCAATTCCATGTGCCTCAGAACAAGCAATGGCCAGCATGGTAAACATGGAGCACCTCCCTACAAAAAAGAGCATGAGTCTGAAGAGAGTGGTACAGAGGCACAGGCATGCGCCTGGGAAGCAGGGGTGAGACCGAAGTGTAGCATGAAGTCCTCAAATAGAGTAAAATCTCTCTTTGAAAAACAGGAGAGAGTTTTTCTTCTTATGAAGTAGCAGCTCTTAACAGGCCAGAAGGAGCAGGAGAGGTTTCAACTTGGACTTCTAAGAATCCACCTTGCTCAATTTAAAGCTTAGCTGTGTCTAGCTGAGCAGGTGTAGTCACTGCAGTGAGTCTGATGTCCTGAGTTGACATGCAGCACTGACTGCCCATTACTTAGATTACTTTCTGGTACTTGAGGCCACATCTCTGCTGCATATTTAACAGAACAGTTCTCATCTAAACATTTATGAGTGTATCAGTTTTTCTCCAGTTGAGGTAAACAACAGAACTAATTCTTATAAAACAAGTCCTCCCCGCAGTATAACCCAGCAGAGGCTTTGCCTATTGTGTTCTTTGACTTGAATTTATTCCATGAGGTTTCATACAGTATGGGACGCACAAGCCCAGCTATAGAATTTAAACGATGAAATTAAGATTATTTTTAGGAGGACGATTTTTACTTTGAACCAAAAGTTTATCTTTTCACCAGACTGTGAAAAAGTGTTTAAAGTGGAGCTGCTAAATGAAAAGAATATCAATGAAAATTTTAAGCATGTCTGTAAACTATGTGAATAAGTAAATGTAGTGTCAGCTTTCCTAGTATTTCATTTCCACTTTCCATTTAAAAGTTTCATATTCTAAAGAACTTTTTGAGCTGAAAACTTGATCAGATTGCAGAGAGCTCAAGTCTGTGATAAAAGGCTTAATGTCTCAAAAATGTAGTTTTTCTGTATATGGACATCTTGAATGTGATTTACTGCAATGAGACTTCATTCATCTTTGTCCTTTGTAACCCACCATGTCACCTTAAACCGTATTCAATGTGTTCATTAATTCACAGCATGTTATCTGGATTTGATTGATGGAAAGAAAAGCTTGGAACTGTGCAGCAGTTAGTAATTTCAGTAGGAAACCTAAACTGGCAGCGTAATTCTAGTCTGACCATTAGTTTCTGGAGGTGGTCACCTGGAAAGTGATTTCACCTTTCTGTTTATCTAGTGTTTGACCGTAACCTGGCTGTAACTGAAATATCAGCACTTAGGCTAGAGGTTTGAAATTAATATCAAAGTTACACAACTTCTATAGAATGAAGTTATTGCCAGAATATGTGAAGTATATAGTAAACTATTTTGATGTAAATTAACCAACCTAATATCTGAGTTGACAAAGCATTCTTGGCATGTTTTGCATGAATTTTGAAGGGAGGACTGCAGCGAGAACATTTAAGCACCTCAACTGTTAACCATCAGCTGGTAATGAGTTCTCTCTTCTAACTCTCCACTATTCCTTATATACCCACAGTAAAGCTTGGGAAGAGAAGTCAAGAAGGAACCCAAGGTAGCATAAGGGCTGCAGTGGAATACACTTTCTCACAAAACTAGCTAAGCAGCTCCTCTCTAAATAAGAAGCTGAAATTTGAAGATTAACTAGCTATCCTTTCTGGGTGGGTTGTTTTTTTGTTTTGTTTTGCCGTTTTTAGTCACGTTGAATACATAAAGGATGGACTGAAACATATGCGTTTGAAGTTCTATATTGAGGGCTCTGAACCAGGAAAACAGGGAACAGTCCACGTGGAAGTCAAAGAGGTATGTACAATTACCTGATGTAGCTGACAAGCCTAATCTTGGATTTAAAGTACCAAAGAGAAAAAAACAGAGCCTGAAAGTGTTTTCCTCATTACAGAATCCTGAGGGAGGAAAACCTGAAGTCCGTTACATATTTGTGGATGTTGACGCCTATCCTAGAAGAACCATTATCATTGAAGATAACAGATAGCCAACAATCAAAGTTGCTGCTTCATCTTACTCACTGTTGAATGATATTGGTGTAAGCAGTCTACACAGGAATTGTTTGGTGTTCTTGATCGAATCTTGCAGATCTGGAGTTAAATATAAGAAGTAACCTCTCAGGGCCTCCATTAAAGTCTCTCATAACAACAGATCCAGAATTTGAGGTGAAGCCAATGAAAAATAGTAGAGCTGTCACTTATGGCAAGTATTTTTGACATAGGAAAATAATGGCTCATATTAAACTGTTTAATGCTGGATAATTCTCCTTAACACCTAAAATCTGAGTCTTTCAAGGTTTCAGGTTTAGGTGGGGAGTTTTCTTGTCTTCCTTTGCTTGGATTTCCCACTAGCACTGCAATAAAGAAAGTGGTATTTGAAATACAGACAAATACTGTTTTCATTCTGGATGCGTTTGTAGATGATTTATGTTAGTGTATAAAGGAGATGTAGCCCAAATGCATCTAAGAATATGAATTGTGGAGACCCACACCCATGACAGATGACTAAACATAAAGGCTCCAATATTGGTATCTTTTAAATAAATTATCAACACCTTTACTGTCTGCTCCTTTCATGGTGTGTCACCCTGCTCAGCACTGCCAACACTTTTTTCATTGACATAACTAATCTACATCTTCCAGGAATTAGATTAGTATAATTTTACCCAAAATCAAAAGCTCAACTCATGACCAAATTTATCTCTTGGATTTCTTGATTAGTACTATATGGCAATTATTAAGCATAATCCTGCGTATTAATAGTGAGACTCAATTGTGTCTGCCAAGCAGCACCATCTGAAAACTTTCAAGCTTTAGTGTCTTACATATAACCATTTTCTTAAACACCAACTAATGCATTTTTCTGTAGTTATCTATATAATACAAGCTTTTTAGTTCACTAGTTGTTTAGCCCTTAATTAAATATACACTGACGTTGAGCTTCATTTAATGGTACATTTGGGGTGTTCTAAAGTTCATACAGTATTCCCTCATACAAATACTGTAGATAGACATTCAGAAATGTTTTACTGCCCTCCTGTTCAGTCTCCAGTAATCTCATCTTCATAGCCCTAACAACTACACTTAATACTTTTTTAGACCTGGATAGTTTTGCTTTATATTAAGTATTGCAACTTTAGCTTCAGTCAGATCCTCAATTGTTTGAAAGTATTCAATGAAAAGGAATCCCACATTTATTCCAACCCTATGAGTATAGTAGAGAAGAAAAGCACATTATAGCAAAGCAGCTACCAATATCAATCTATGATAACGGGCAATGTATTTTGGAGTTTCTACACTGTACAGAATATAACTAACTTCTGCTGTGCCAGCCAAAGGGGTTTTTACAAAACTAACATCTGTTCAGACTGATCAAAGTGATTCCATATCTGTCAGTTTCAGCAGAGTGATAAATTTGTCTGATTTTTTATCTATTAATGGATAATTGTCAAGACCAAAAAGTCTTTTACTCATAGTCAAAAGCTACAGGAATCACTGTGGTTCTTTAATGAAAGTATGAGAAACCATTCTGGTACTTATTAAGAAGTAACTCCAACAAATTTTAATTTTCACCCACAGTCACTGACATCATTAATATCAATCTGGAAAGGTTTCTTTAAACAATGAAAGCAACTATTGCCCCCTTCATGTTATTTTTGTGAAAGTAATAGTTATTAACATGTTTTAGTGTTGCGTATGACTCTTCCTAATTCTTAGCATTGCACTTTACCAAAATCTATAACCAAGTACAAAGACAAATAAAAAATCGGAATGAAATCTGTTTCACTGCATACTGCTGCAGTAGTGACTGATAGCACTGCATGCCATGTTTAAGTCCAGTTGCTGTAAATGTGTCACACATGGCAGTTACTGAAAACTACTTCTGCAAGAGTTTTGTCACAAATTAAAGACAGAACAGTTAAGAGCATATCAGAAATACTGCTAGCTATATAATTGTATAACTTTAATATTAAGCATACTAGCTTTAAGGCTGTGCTATACCTTGATAAAAATGTACTCGTTCTTCAACTTTTATGAAACAAGACTATATCAAAATACAAGTTTTCTAGCCTAAACTGTGATATTGTTTCTGCCCCTCCTTTATGAGTTTGTTCCATCTCAAACTGCCTGAAAGCCATTGTAAATTTCCACGTCAACAACAAAATTGACAGGCTAGATATTTTTCCTGTATCTCCACATTCCAGCTTTGCTCTCCCATTAATCTGAATGTGGCTTGTTTCCAGTGGGCTTCACTGCTGGGGAAAGGAGTATTTCCTAAAGCAAGATGTAAACAACTTTTTAGAGTAAATGGTATGGTAGAAACAATGTGTCAAATCCAGTCCTTAAGGAAAAAAAATAAATCAAGTGTCACGCATCAAAAGAAAGACATTAAAATAAAAACAGTGAAGAAAAGCCAGCTGTTTAGTTTTACTTTTGTCTTGTTTTACAGTCTTGTTTGCAGTGAAGAAAGAAACTGTGAGGACTAGAAGATTTCTGGGAAGGAAAAGATTTTGACCTTGCATAATGATGTTTTTCCAACAGTGGAATTACAAGAAATACTTTAAGAGACTTGTGGTAGAACAGCAAGAATTGGCCATTGGGTTAATGTCTCCATTTAACTTCATCTCTAGAGAAGACAGTTTTATTGTTTGCAAACAGGTTTCTGTATATTTTTTTTCAGTAGTAAGGAATTCCTAGCCTACATAAAAATACAATAGTGTTCAAGGCTTGTGTGAAAGAACAATTTGAGAATCTGCATTGCCTGGTCACTGTGAGACATCAGCACAGAAGTTCTGAGAGTTGTCTTAAAAGGACTTGGTACCCTTGTCATATGTTGGCATTTGTGTCAGACATCAATATTGTGTGCTGTAGCTGGGAATAAATGCTACAGTTCCAGGTGTCAGAAAAAGTCTTTGCAAAGTCAAAATAATGATTCTGTCTGGCACTTTGGCAACCCGTCTAGACCTATACAAGAAAAATGGAGACAGACCATAACTGGCAATGAGGAAGAGACAGACACATGAGTATAATTTAAAAGGCACAGGTGGATGTGGAATGTCTAAAAGCAAAGTGCTAACCTCTGGTTTACGCACACATTTCAGGAAATGAGAATCCAGAAAATCAAGTCAGGTGATTATCATCAAATTAATTTTTCTTTAGGGTAGCCCCAATATGACAGGGTTATAAATAAAATGTTTCTTATCCTGTACTTACATGGAGTGTGCTGTTGTCATTTCCAGAATTCATCTCACTCCTGTGAAGTAGCAGGAAAACAGGTGTGTGAGCACAGTTGCTCAAAGCAGCAGGATACACAGCTATGGTGGCACCCACAAACAAAATTACAGCAGGTGCCAGTTACTTTCCAATGTGAAACTGTCATGCTATTGTGGAAAAAATAACTGCCAGGAAGTCAGGGCCAAAACAGTAACATTTTCATGGAAATCAAACACATTAAATTTTGACTGCTGCAGAGTTAATAAAAATGTATATGCACAAAAACCCATTGTTTAGGAAACAAAAGCACATTACCCAGAACTGAAATGCTGCTTTTCCAGAAACACTGTATGACAGATTATTCAAAATTTGGGGTAGGTATGCACCTTGGTCTTAACTTTACCATCTCATCCCTCATTTTTTTTTAAATCATTTTGTGAAATCCCTCATTTTTGTGATGCCCAAACTTGTGCATATAGGGAACAGGCAGCCGACAGCCTTAGATCCAGTTTGTGGAAATAACAAAGCTATGCTGTTACATGCAGGCTTCTGTTTGAGTCCGTGTTCGTGCACTTGAAATATTCAGGTCATTAATTTTGTTAAAACTTAAAAATATCGAAACCTGACTACCTGGCTACTCTTTAATTAAGCTTTGGTAAACAGAAGTTCAGACTGACAGAAATAACATGTACACGGAAGCTTATAATTATCTACAAAAGGAGATGACAGTATATCTAGCAGAAAAGATCAGGTGTTTAATAGAAAATGTCAGTTTTAATATTTTCTGGCCATTCTTACACACCCTTTCCCTGAGGTGCCCACCCGTGGCTGTGAGGCCTGGCCCTGCCCTGCAGTGGGGCCCTTGGAGCCGGCTGCATCCACCATGGGGCAGCGCAGGCCTCACCTCATGGAGCCTGGCTTTACCAAATCTGAGGGCTCATTTTCACCTCTCTTAGCTGAAGACATTAATGTCTCCCCTGATTTACCATCCCACCACACACACAAGTATCTAGCCGAAACTGAACGGGACTTAAAACTTGAGTACTGTGAGGACCTCGCTGCTGTGTGCTACTAAGGCCGACGTTGTTGCAGGGTTCGCAGCCATTCCTTCCCAGCAGTGGTTTGGTACCCACCTGGCCCGTTACCATGTCTTCTCTAACTCCAAATCACATACACATGTCTGCTAGCACATCTTAAAACCTCCTGGTACTGCACTGGGAAACCTTGGCAGAATAATCTTGTTTATCCAACCTCCATTTAATTACAATTCCTCTTTATCTGAATCACAGTTAGGTTCTCTAACACGAATTACCTTCTTGTATTACTCAACACGATTAACTCTATTAACTTTCACTCATCTGAGTGCATTTTCACTTTTTATAGGAACAGACTGTTTTACAATTTCGATCCTAATTCTTTTTTTTTTTCCTCTAAAATTGCAACAGTTGCAGCCATAACAAAATATTATTACAGCATATACACATACTAAGTATGTGGCTATATTCCCCAAAATCTGATTTGCTTCATTAGTGTTACAGCAGTCATACTGGAGCTAGAAGTGAAGTGATATTTTGTATGCTGTCTGGGACTGCCCGTTATCTTACATGTATTGACACTGACCCAAAGTCCAACGGAGAAGCACGGATTTTCATAATGCTACTAGTCACTTTTTGGCATGATATTTAGCAAGTTGTGTGCATCATAGTCAAGTGTGTGACACTGAAAAGGATAAATATAGGAGAGAAAAATATCTGAGACATCTCAAGACTTAAACCAGAAAGCAGCCTCCTATCAGCCGTCTTGGGCATAAAAGCCCCATAATTAGCCACAAATGTTTTTCAATGAAAACATCCATGAAATATGTTCTACATCACTATTTTATTTTTATTTTTTGTATTCTTCCCACTTCCTTTCCCGGAATTTCTCTTTTAACACGTCTTCAGGAGTCCTGCCAGCTTCTACATTTATTCCTCTTTTTATTCAAAATATTATGCCTTGCTTCTATGTCTGCATTTCTCTTCTTTACCTATATTTAAGTTAGCAAAATGAAAGATGAGGAAGAAATATTACACCTTTGGTTTCCAAGGTATCTAGAGCTGACAGCTTTTCTCCTGTGCTTTTATCCAACTTTTCCATCATGCTGGCTCATTTAAAAGGTGGTATGAAATCTTACGTCCAGCACCGCATCCAAAACTCCAACCGCTAACATCTAGAAAAGCTCCAGATGTGCCTCAGTAGAAAATACTTCAAGGGGAATCAAAAAGAAGAAATCAAATAAGCACTACAGGTATATGATTCATGCTAAGATCAGAGCCAGTCAACTCTGTGTCTTTTCTCCTGTGTCAA